TCGATACTATATTTCTTAGAGTTATATAGCTATACACAACGATTACTTCTAAGTGCAGCATACGCGAACCTCTCATTTTTTGAAAATATCTTCGAAAACATCGCATCAAATTTTGTTTGAAATTCTTTTGATTTTCTTATGAATTATTATATCAAATTTAACATGATTTTCAACAGACTTCATAGATACAGAGAACAGTTGAACGTACCATATTATCTTGAAAACGCAACGTTTCTTGTTTGATGTTAGAAAATTGAGTTCTTCGACAATGACAATTCATTTTCTTTGTTCATTGTAGTGATTCCCAATATCCCAATCCATGCTCAGTGGTCACAGAATGGAAAGACCGTTGCCGGAGGGAACGGAAAAGGTACCGGCACTAATCAACTTAATTGCCCTCAAGGTCTCTTCGTTGATGATGATCAAACGATGATCATCGCTGACTACGAGAATCATCGTGTCGTTCAATGGCAGATGGGTGATACGAATGGACAAGTTGTAGCCGGTGGAAAAGACAAAGGAAATCGATTGGACCAATTAGATTTTCCAACCGATGTGCTAATCGAGAAATACACTGATAGTCTTATTATCTGCGATCGAGATAATCGACGAGTCGTACGATGGTCTCGTCGTTGTGGCACAACTCAAGGTGAAATCCTCATCGACAACATCGATTGTCGAGGATTGTTCATGGATGATCAGAGATATCTCTACATATCTGACATCAAAAGACATGAAGTAAGACGATATCAAATAAGAGGCAAGAATGGAACTACCGTGGCTGGCGGGGATGGCAAAGGTACTGCTCTGAATCAACTTAACTTTCCAACCTGCATCTTTGTCGATCAACAACAGAATGTCTACGTGTCAGATAACAACAATCATCGTTTAATGAAATGGAATAAAGGTGCAAAAGAAGGCATTCTCGTTGCTGGGAGTAAAGACGACGGGAATGCTCTAACACAATTGTATCATCCTAACGGACTCTTCGTCGATACTTTGGGTACCATTTATGTTGCTGATTCTGGAAATAATCGAGTCATAAGTTGGCCTAAAGGAGCAAAACAGGGTACTGTCATTGTGGGTGGAAATGGTGAAGGAGTAGGAGAAAATCAGTTTCATCATCTCCGTGGTTTGTCTTTCGATGGACAAAGCAATCTCTATGTCGTCGATCGCTATAATCATCGTGTTCAATTTTTTTCTCTTAAATAAATTGCATTCGAATCGAAGAAAAATGTTTTTTTGAATTTCTATTCACGCATGCGGGCGAAGACGCACATCTTGGG